CATGGAACTTCAAACAATCAAGAATAAAGAAGATACAATCCTTTGACTTATGGTGTTATAGAAAAATTCTAAAAATATCATGGATAGACTGCACAACCAGTGAAAAAGTATTGGAGATGGTTGGAAATCAGGAAACACTAGTTAGAGATCTTATGGAAAAAGAGATTTGATTTGCAGGGCACATTTTTAAGAGGTTCAGTGGGTGATGCATATTTATGGGCACTGGAAGGAAAGTTAATGGCAGAGGAACGTGAGGCAGAAAAAGAGAAGATCGTTGATGGATGATGTGGTCTTCTGGGTGGATCAAAAGGACTTTTCATCCACAAAGAGATTAGCAGAACAGGCTACTATAGTTGCAAACTTCCAGTAATGGAGAAGCCAAGCAACAGGAGCAGGGCAGCCGTACCAAAAGGCAGAGCCCGAGTACGGCTAATCCCTTTCATCAGGCCAATGGCTTGTCTGCCCACCAGAGTTGAAGCTGTTTCAACTAAAGGTGTGATGTTGTATGATGTTCAACTGGTGCAACTTTGTGTGTAGACTGGCCTAAATTAGCTTCCTTTACTTTGGACAGTGGCTGGGAGTGGTCTGGCAGTACCCGAAAATTAGCTCTATATGGTTGATATGACTCTCAGACCAAACCTTCAGCTGCATGTTCGAGGACAGAGCAGAGAGGTAACAGAAGCTGTGGCTAGTGAAAGGAGCTGGTGGGACTGAGTTCCCTGTGGCTGGGCGTTAACATCACAATGCCCCAGCCAGAGGGCTTGGCATTAGTTGGTTCCTTTATTGGCAGTTTCAACAGGGAAGTTGAGGATCTAATGGGCTATGAAAATGGAACTCGCGCCTCTGTCTTAGAGGTGGTCCCTCCAGAGCTAAGTCACCTTAGCAGGGCAGCACGGGCGACGCTTGCTCGTCCACCCTCGGAGCTGTAACGTTCTCTGGGGAGATCAGAGGACGCGGTTTCCAGGGCCGTGGGGGAAAATGCCTTGTAAAATGGAGCTGCGAGCTGCACCCTCCTCCGTTGAATCAGAAGGGATGGAATGCGGAGCAGGGAGTGGCTGCCGTAACCAGGCCATGCTGCACCCTGACCTTTCTCATGGTTTGAGACACTTGGGGCTGCGGTTCAGACTGGTCCGTAGGGCTGAGCACCACCCCCTCTGTCTATGCCCCAGAACTCTGCCAGGGCAGCGAGATTCCTGCTTTTCTCCATTAGCATCCTAGCTGTTCAGGCTCCTTTGGGAGGTAGCACTGAACAAAATCTCCCGCCCATCCAATCTCTTCTCCTGCAGAAGCCAGAACTTCCCAGGGCCCTGTTCTCTAGACAGGACCACCCGCCAAGCTCTTTCTCTCTTACCTTCCTTCTCCCTAAGGGCAGAGCAGGCCAAATGGAGCAAGCCAAAGGCCCGCAGGCCCTCCACCTGCAAAGGGACCTTGGCAGATGCTCTGTGGCAGCTTCTCGCGGGGGGGAGGTTGTCTGAATAACTTTTCCCTGGCCCTGCAGGCTAGGCCACAGAGCTGCTAAGAATTCCAGGCTGTCCGATTGTTACCCTCCACAAAGCCTGGCTGCTGACCAGCCTCCACGCCTTCCTGGGCGGCGTTCCCCAACCTGTGTGTTTCTATGCTGATGGGGCAGTGGTTGGCGACATCATTTATTCCACAGATGAGCTGCTTTTTCCATTTTAACGCAGCGGCGGCCAAATCCCCACATCTCCTCTCTGTCCAAATATTTATCTGTCCGGCATCGCTCCGCTCTGTTAATAATAAACCCGTCCCCTCCTCCGCCTGTGCGTGGTTGAAGACTCAGCTGTCCTCTAAGGGACCGGCTGCAGCACTGGGGCGGTGGAAGGCCGGAGATGAAATCCCCACGTCCCTGGCACAGGGGCTAGGGGGTTCGGGGGGGGGGGGAGGGGTGTCTCACTGTGTTACATAGCCCTAGAGATGCCCTTCAGCTTAGTTCAGCTCCACATGCCCTCGGCAGGGAGCCTGTTAATGCTGGGAGTCCACGCCACTCTACATCCTCTTTGTCTCCCTAGCCAATGTCACCCTTGACCTCTGTGATCTTTAGGTGCCTCCTTACTGCACCCCTGAGGGTCCCTGACGTCCCTCTCCCAATGAGTTTTCTGCCTCCTGGGCCTTACCCTCGTTTCACACATGAAGGAAGCCCCGTGGGTCCACCCGCCTTGTAGCCAGGATGAGAGAGAGCATATGCTTGGTCTCTAAAAAGGCTACTGTCAGATCTTCTGGCCAGGGCTGCCTGAGGGTCTGGGGCTCCCGTGCTCCTCTCCTCTGAGCTAGTGGTATTGCTGGTCAGCATTGCTCCCAGCTTCAGTGGGCCGGGGAGTGAGAAGCAGAGCCCAGCTGGCCCCTCCCCACTGCCTGGCCAGAACACAGTGGCTCGGTCTCTCCGCAGGCCTGGGAGCCCAGATTGGT